TGTAAAATTAGAAAAATAGTTGCAAGAACTCAGACTACAATGGCACCAATCTCAGTGTTAGACAGAACCAGAGAACTACCTTTGATGTAAGGTTGCTCATCTCTCACCTGTTAAGCTGCGTGGTGAATACACCGACAACCGTGGGGACTCCATTGATTTCTATTATGTCTGTGATAGACTGCAGAACATCAAAGTAGAAGAATGAATCCCCAGGAACTGAGCAGTTGAGCCGAGCTTTCAGAAAGGATGTCCAATGTTTTTCCAGGACTCTTTGGGACCCCCCCATGTCATTTTTGCATATGCGTGCCACACGGGAATACACAGCCTGTGAAGGGCAAAAAAAAAAAAAGGAAAAGGGAGAAAGGCTTGAGAGATGCAAGGAAAACAGTGCTTGTTTCTGAGCTGTTAATAAAGCACCAAAGATAATTTTGTTAACAGGAAGCTGCCATTTATCTGCACAGAAAGGATGAAAGCAAATGGTGTTTAGCCCATAGTGCACAGGCATCTTAATGTATCACCAAGCAAATGCAACTCTGCAGCTTGTCCCCACCCTTTTTTTCCCTTCAAAATCATATTGTTAGTGAGATTTAAAGACTTTAATTAACCATGTGTAAAGGATTTAATAATTTATTATAGAATATCCTTCCATGGTGAGGCATGAGTATTATACTCTGTACCGGCATGACTGAATTATTCAATACCCAGGGACATTAGAGAAACTTCTTTGAAACTCTTCTTTTGTGTTGTTTTCTTTTGTTTCTTTAATAAGCACGAAAAAACCCTCAGATTTTCCATTACTTGCCACAAGTGTTAAGGCAACAGCAACACTAAGGCAACAGCAATACTAAAAGATACCTGTAGTGAGCTTGCCTAACAGCAAGGCATAGAGAAGTGAAACAACTTTTTGGCTGAAGAACGCACTGTTCTCTTTCTCTTCCTCCCACCTCCCACCCCGTAAATTATAATGATGGGGAAACTGTGAGAACTTTGTACTAGTCCCTACTTCATATTGCAAACCATGTTTGTTACTGATACTGTTTTAGGATGATCTCATTCTGCTACAACTCATGGCTACCTGAGAGCTCGCTGTGACAAGACCTACCTTGCCTAAATTATTGTGCTCTACAGCAATTTCTCGGAAGAAGAAATAAACGTAGTTCCCATATTCTATGGCATGGAGGAAGTGCGGTTCTGTAAGGAAGAGCAAAGAGAAGGTTACTTCAAGGAACTACTCAATCAGCCCATGACACTGACCACGCTGCGTGACTCGGCGGCTTCTCCACAGGCCCATCCATAGCAGCTAACCTGAGCTCCTGTCTTCCAGATACTTTAGGATGTCCCAATATGCGTGCACTGGAGCTTAAATGAACGTGAAGTCTTTAATGTTGGCTAATGGACTGTGAAAAGGTCTCAGAGGAATTGCATGTCAGCTAAGATGTTTTGTTACTGCAGATTCATTCATTGATGTATTTAATAAAAATTTTGCTTTATTTGTATTAAACTGCTTTCTTATTGTAATCATACTGTACTGAAAGCCACATATATGCTGACATTGTAGTGTATGTGTAAAGCACACTGGCTGTGAACTACCTGCCCCTCTGTGCCACTGAAATTACATTTGCCATGTGTATGGGAAAATACCCCCCCCCTCCAATTACCTTTTATCCATTTGGAATCATACTTTATTGTTCTTAGGGCAGATCCATCCCCCATGCTGCGATAAATAACAGCGTCACTTGCCAGGAAATCTGCTACCGTTGCCGAATACAATTTTCCATCTAAAATGGAAGTTGAAAATGTGGTATTAAGAGGTCTTTAATAATCTACAGAATTCTGACTAGCCTGTATTTTTCCCCATTTCTTTACTGCCACTCTTCCCCAAGTTGCTGTAACCTATTTATTAACAGGTCAGCTTCTAATCCTTTGGAGGCCCTCTAAAAAATTTAAGAGCGGGGCCACCATGACACCTTTAGCTTTCCTGTACTTGCTTTAAAAGCTCTCTGGCTCCTTTAGTATCATTAATCATTTAGACTCATTACAAGCAAAAGTTCTTACCAGCAAAGAGGGCGACATTGGTTTGTCTGGCATCAAATGGGCATCTCGCCAAACCACTAATTTCCTCCCCATCATACTCTAAGGTATTCAGCTAGAGAAGAAATATAAATGGGTGATAGTGTCATTTCTATTTTGTACTGGCACAAAAGCATAACACTGTCTTTCCAGAAAACTTAATTCAGCACATTGGCTTCTGTCTGTTTTTATTTCACCTTGAAGCACTCTCCAGTCACACTGGATATATTTGCTATAACATCATTAGTGCAAGCAAAACTAGAAACAGATTAATGACATTTGCAACATTCTTACCTGATAGTATCTGCACATAGGGTTAAATGCATTTGTTCCACAGACAAACACCATCTCATCATTTCTTGGAACAAAGACTTTAATGAAGTTATGGCATTCATCCTGAAAAGAGATGTATTAGTCACAGACTTTACATATATAATAAATATTAGTGTTGTTTTTCTATAATGTATGTGCTAAACTTACTTTATGTTTGCCTTTCATAGCACAGTTCTCTCTGTCCTGCTGCCTTGACCTCCATGTTAATTTCTGTTTAGTCAAACCAGAAAAGAACATTTGATTTCCTTTCCACAAAAAAATCTTTAAAAAATTAAACCCAAAGAAAATTCCTCTCCCTTGCCAGCATCTGCATCTACTCACCTTGCTTGGAGTGACTTCCGATTTTGGAACTTCATTTAAGTTTACAGTGTAAACTTGGTCCCTGTTCGCAAAGAGTAAAAAGACACAAGTAAATTCATTAATTCATTGGCCTTATTTTTGATAAGCTAAATCTATTTCTAGAGTCTTTTGTTACATCAGAAACTTCTATGAAATGCTTATGGATTTTCTGTGTTTAATGCAAATTGGAGAAGGTCGGTCATGGGCAACATGGGGTGGTTTGATTTTTATTGGCATGGTCCTTAGATAGCACCTCCAGTGCCCAGCTATCCATCTCTGTCTCTCCGTTCTGTTGAAGACTAATCTGGACTGTAAATATTAAAGTATATTATCCTCACTTCCTACATCCCTGATGTGTCACTCCAAGTTTAAAATTTTTTTGTGATCACTGGTTTTAGCATAACTACAGTAACTGCAGCCTTCAAATCCAATTTTCATGTGCTGGCCATAGATACAGTATATTTCTCTGCGAAGTCCTCCCCCAATTCTAATTTTTATCACATTCTGCAGATTTTTCTAAATGAATTTTACACACTAATGCAAAACCAGAAGAGAAAAGAATTTTAATCTAATGAACTGAGTGAAGGAAAATTACCTGCCAGCAATATAAAGTGTGTCTCGAATTTTCAACATCAGTTGGAAGTCCAGTCTGTGCTGAGATTCATTGCCTGAAGGGCGTCCTCTAAATACTGGATATTGCCTTGAATCTGCAAGTAAAAGTGGGCTACACCATCACTCAGGATTATAGAGCTAAAGAATCAATAGATGGCATTGATTAGCTGTATATACTAGGTGTAGAAGGGTTTAAACTAAATTCCTTGAGTAATGTCTTGAATATAAATGAGAAAAAGATGGCTAATGTCAGCAAATGTTCTTTTTCCTGAAGTTATTGCTGTATTTCTGATTGCTTTTTTAAGAAAATGATTAAGTGTTCTATTAAAGATACAAAGCCAGTAAACACATTTCAATTTGAAAGAAAACAGACTTTTTTTTAACTTCCCAAGGAAAAAAAAAAAAAAAAACCCACATTAAAACTTTCTCCCTAGCGGTTAGCACCATTTGCAGATTACTTACAGTGGTAGTCAACAATGTTAATAGGGTCCTCGTCTTCAGGGAAGCTGACAGCTCGGCACTGGGACAGACTCATTAGCATCACGGAGGCACAAAGCAGAGGAAGCCTCATGGCTGGTGAAAGATGAGTACTACCTTTGTGGCCACACTGTTTAACTACCTGGAAAACAGGAACACGCCAGTGAGATTTCAGCAGCACAGGACGGTAAATGTAACTTCCTACTGCAGAAGAAGGGGGTTTGCATTTGTATTTGAGCACTGGCAGCAGTGGACTAAACTGGTGCTTATGAAAGGCTCCTGTATGTACATTGATGGAAAACTGCTCCGTGACGTACCCCTACTCAAAGCTGCTCTGAAACATATTGATGTTTGCAAATTTTTAGCTGGATTTACAGGCATTTCCATAGAAGCTGATGACTGTCAGCCCATTTAATTCATGGGAATCACAAACAGAACATGCAGGCTGCTGACCTGGCAAGAAAAATGGTGAAACTTGGGATTAGAGTTTTAATTAAACTGCAATCTCTTTCCATCCCCTCTATCACTGAATGTCATCCAATAAAACCCTTTTCTCTTAAAATACCTAAATCTTATCCACAAAAAGTCATGACACGCACAATCTGTCTGAACATCCATGCCATGTTTTAAAATTATTGCTTGTTTCCAGGCTGCGCCATCATAATACTAAGCCTAACATGCTCATTGCGAAAGACCTTATGTCTAGGACCAGACACTTGATGCTTTGCCTTGTGCAGTGGTTTACACATGTGCAAAGTAAATGTAAAAGTGCTGCCTCTGTCACATGCTTTGCAAGGGTGGCAAGAGACTCAAGCAGGAGCACGATGCTGAACTGGGTTCCGAAGATGCTGCTTTCCCCCTAATTCTATTTGTTATTGGAGAAAGCTAGCAACTTCAGATTATTTGACCATGAGGTTTTTGTGTGTGTGTGTGTGCTCTATAGATTATACAGCACATATTATGATAGTACCACAATGTTATACAACAAAGCTTCTTTAAGAGGGGAAGGGAAACATAACTTCTCCAATTAAACCACAGGGATATTTCAGTAAGCAGAATGTAACTACTCAAGTTGCAATTTGGGTAGGATACAAGAAAACGCATCTCAAAGTGAAATGCAATCCTTAATGACCACAAGTGGTCTGGGCAGGGGTCATATTTCTCATTAGAAACTTGGCAAATGTAGTACTATTCCCTCCTCCAACCTTTTGGAGGCATTCATTCAGCCCCGATTCACAGGTCAGAGCTTTGAGTCACCAGCTCAATGCCTTGCAGTTGCTGAAATTGGTTATTAAACTCTTTGTCTGAACAGAAAAAAGGATGCCTTTTCATTTTAATGTTTCAAGAATTGCTGTGAGATGTACATGTTGCCAGTACACAGTGCCAGGCCTGATCCAGCAAAGCACATAAGTATTAATCATTTAATAATTTGAAAAGCAATTAAAAAAACCCTTCATAACAACACTTAACCTTTCAGTATGTTTACTGGGGATGAAAATACTGTATTTGTGAATTGATACTACGGCTGGCCAGGGTAGGGCTTCTTCCTTCCACAAGGCTGCTGAGCTCTGTCAGTTCAGGCTGGACTGTAGGAGACCAACTTAAAGGCTGATAATATTTGGTGCTGGGGGTGTGGGTGTTGTCTGAATGCCTGTCCGTTATGGACTGACCTGAAAAGAAGCATTTTCCACTGTTAATGATATTTCTGTATCTCAGTCCACCAGTCCAGAACGAATGGGCTGTGCTCTTAGTCAAGATTGATGAGTGCAGTGGTTAATAAACACTAATGATTCCTGGCACTTTCCCTCTGCTCTTCCTTGTCCTGACATGGCCTCTTCAGCTGAAGCATCTTGCGTTAAATTACTAATGAGCAAACTTAAAGCAAACTGGAATTAATAAAGTTAGTCAAATTAGTTCTTTCTTGTGAAAGCACCATTAGAGCAAAGTCCTGCAGCACAGTGGCTCCCAGACACAACAACAAATCATTAATGGTTACACAAGCTTTTTTTTTTTTGCCTTTTTTTTTTTCCAAGAAAAGCAGGCTCCAAATATCCAACCCACTGCTGCCCCAGTGAAAGAGGAGAAAGGGGAAGCACATAAACTGTACATTGAGTCAGTGCATGGTAACGTCTGTAAGGTGCTTAGTAAAAGTCCTCCCTGAAGCCTCATTTTCTTGGAGAATAAATAAATACAAATTGCCGAAGAGCAAGAAGCTCTCCCAGCCATGTAGGCTTTAGTTAGCACAGAAGATGTGGCTGTTCATGGCCGACGTGTCATGACTCAAAGAGACCCTGGCCTGGCTGCAAAATGCGCACAGCCTGCAAACTGTACAAGTTCTGCCATTATCAAGCATGGGCACGTATTAGGAAGTTTCTTTTTTCCTCTCTTTCCTCCCAGTATCCCATCTAGATAGAATTCCCTGGGGCAACAAATAGGAAACATAAATGTAACCTGCCTTATAAAGGCAGCTGCTCTCTTCTGCGCTGGAGGAAATGGCTGCACAGAACGAAAGGGCAATTTGCTGTGTATTGGCCACAACAATTGTGACCTAAAACCAAACAGTCACTAATCCAAAAAGGAAACGACCGAACTTCCAGGGAAACAAAGAGAGTACCAGTTCTCTCAATTAGATTCAAATTTCAGGGGGTATATCATACTCCCTAAAACAAGGCAAAGTTTTGTAAATGTAAAACCACAGGATGTGTCTCCCCAGAGTTTGCATCCAGAGCAGAAATAAACTCAGAGTTATGACTTCCTCAAAAAAACCCCAAAACTCTGAATATATTCCAGAGATTAACTCTGAAAACACAAAAGGCAGGAATAGTTATGTTCAGCAATTTCTTTTAACTAAACATCACCTGTCACAAGTCTATCAAACAAAATGTCTACATCTGCATGAAGCATAGACCTTTGTCACGACAAGAGAGAGAAGCGGACAGAGCGCTGGACCGGATCAGCACACCACAGGTAATCACTTCTTGCCAGCCAGGTAAGAAATACAGGTTTATTTTTCTGCTCGTTAAAATTTACAAGAAAATGAACAGCAGCTCCAATTTCTAGCTACATATGAAAAGAAAATGCACCTGCTTTAAGAGGCATTTAAATGCACCTTTTAGCTGGTTGGACACAGGCTTGAGATCAGAACCACTGAAAAGAGAATAAACTCGGAAGAACAGCTGTTCCCTGGATAATCAGAAAAATGGGCTCCATCTAGCCCTTGGAACAAGGCGTTTATGACAGTCAGGTGTACGCTTCTGGTAGACACAGATAGGCTGGTGTGAAAGACATAATTCTTGCCACATTCAAACCTTTTAATGGAGGCCACTACTGGGGACTACAAATAACAATGCTGAAGTATCTGTTTGGACCAGAATAGCTGATTATGAAATCCTGGCAATGTCTACCTTCAAGAAAATGCAGAAAACAATCATATTCTGGGTCTGATTATTTTTCCCCAGCCAGGATTCAGACCAGTCTTTGATTAATTTCTCTTATAAATTGCATTCCTAGCATTTCTGCTAGGAAACAATTCACGGCAAGTGCAATGTTTGGAAATTACCATATTGCTCTCCCTGTTTTGCAGCTGGGGAATCGAGGCACAGATCAAGGCTGAATTTGTGACCAAGGCCAACCACCAAAAAAGCGTTCTCAACGGATCTGAGCTGAGGGTCATATGTGGTCATTCCTTGCAGCACAAATTGGCCAGTGTCACCCAGGTGGAAAAGCTAGCAACAGATCAGAGATCTTCTGGCCATTCGGCCTGTGCCATAACTAGTTGTGTCTGCAAATACAAAGAAATAGAGGTATAAATGTTAAATGGTGGCACAAGTCCACAGCGGTAAAGAGGACAGCAGCCTCACTGAAAGAGGCCTCAGGGCGAGTGCTGTTGGGTCAACTGGAAGGCAGGCAGTTGTCCCAAGTAATAAACTGGCTCTTTGTGGGTGGCACCTTTCAATCTCAGATACGAATCCCATCTTTCAATTCCTGATTGGGGGAATCCAGAGGAGCAGGATACCATTTCTGTTAAAATATGAGCCCTCCTTCAAACAATCACACGTGAAGGGGAACAGGCTGGTGTTTCTTGCCCATTAATCTAGTCCAGCCTTTGACAACGCACTGGTGACACTCCATCAATCATCTTTCCCTGCGCTGCCACGTAAAAGAGGAGGGGGAAGGGAAAGGGCATTCAGCCAGCTGGAGGGAAGCAACACATAAAATAGCTTCAAACCAGACTGATGCAATATCTTCTCTTCACTCAAAAACAAACAAAAAAATTCTTAAAAATCTCCTTAACACAATAAATGCTTCTCAAAATGCTAAGCACAGACAGGAGTGTGGTATGGCAAATCCAGGCTGAAGTTCAAGGCAGGCCAGAACAAAAAGATATATCCTAAAAGTTAGTTCACTTGTGGAGAGTTTGATGAGGCAAAGGAGAAAAGGGTTGCAATAATAAAAGCTGAAAAACAGGCACATGAAAAGGCTTAAATGACCACATCGTCTTATTTCGCCACCAGATGCAGGGCAAAATTAGGCTCCTAGGTGAGATCGAGGATCTCCTCTGTGCTTGGAGGTATGCATTAACCATAATGTTGAGGGGGGACAGGCAGAATTGATTAGTAATATGCTGAGCTTAGTCAATTTATGTGGTGCGGTTTCCCACAATCCCAAGTGACTGAACTTCGACAGATTGGGAAATCCCTGTTGTCCTCTGTTCCTTCCTGCATGCAAATGGCTCCCTGAGGGCACTAATTAGTGCAAATGTACTAACTAGTGCATTTCTGAGACAGTACCTTCTAAAATTTTGAGAATGAAACCAGGCACATAATAAGATAAAAGTTAAAACAAAACAAAAAAATCCTTTACTATTGCTTGTTCAGGGGTGCTCAACAAGTTTCTTGGGGCCTACAGCTGAGACTTCAGTTCCTCTTTCTGATAGCAAAGCAGATCATGTGCAACCCTCAGCAACTTCCACTCATCTCAGCCCTTGAGACAACCCCCTGGTGGGGGTCACAGTTCATCCCTGGACAGTGGCTTCAGGGCACTGAGCAGTTGGCCAAATCAGAGCGCCAAAGCTCTTTAACCAGACCACTCATC